AATGGGACGAGAACAGACCGCGCTGGCTTGAGTCTGCCAACACAAAAATTGTCAGCTGGCCCATCTACAGTATTGTTTCTTTAAAAGTTAGCCTGTCACACATCCTCACTGCACTGTCCTCAAGCAGTTTAACATTTCAGGATTTCAGTACTTCTGAACATTTGCAGATGGAGGAAAAATAACAAGTTGCTACATCACTCAAAAAAGAAGCAGACGGCAGCAGTGTGTCTAATTGAAATGCTACACGTGTGCATCAGTTCTCCTCACCCTGTTGAGTATATATATATATATATATATATATATACACACACACATATATCTCACACACGCTCAGTCAGACTGGGCCTAGAACAACCAGTTTCCCAAGTGAGAGGAAGGCAGGTCTACATACTCCCTGCTGTATGCTGCAAGTGTTTGTTTCCTTATTGGACATTTCCTGGCTGTCATCTTTACACAGCTTCTGGCACAGGGGCAAGCCTTAAAAGGCATAATGGACATTATGAAACCTTTGTGCAGTCAAACTGGGAGCACAACAAAATATCAATAGTATGTAGGGTTATTTTAGGACAGACAACATTTGGGTTAAGTGATCTATAAAGCTAGACCTTCGTGTTGGGAGAATTATTTTGTCTATTTGGACATTATTGTTATGGGTCTTGCGTAAAAAAAATATTTTAATAAAAAAAATAGTCTTGAGCACGTATCCTATATCGGTATGGTACCTATTACGCATATTTTGATACGCATATTCGGACTAACTTCGTAATATCGTCGCTGTCTCAGTAATTTTCCTCTGCCCTATAACGAATGGCCTTAGCTGGAAGAGTCTAAACGACTGCTGATATTTGCCCAGTTTTGTCACATTACATCCAGCAACTTCGAGTCACAAGTAAATAACATCACGTCAACAACATAGTAAAAGACGTGGAACAACAAATGCGCCCAAACTGGTTAAAAAAGTGCAACCCACGGCCTGTTTGGCAGTTCAAAGTAGCGGGGTCATGCATTACAGCGCATTAATGGATGCATGCATAGCTGCGTTGTTTAATATTCCACTAGAAGCTGTTGACAGGATGTTACAAACTGCTACAAAAACACTGTTTTCGGATCGACGGCGATCGAGTGACAAGAGATCACGAAACATGACAGCGAAACAAAACGAAACAACAAGCTAGCACTGCCTTTGTGCAAACACGATAGCCCGTTGCTACTTAGACTGGCCATCAACTGAACTGACAGCTGACATTTGGCTTCCAATTCACGGCATCACTGAACTTGACATCCATTTTTTTTTACTTGAACAAACGCTAGCTCGACACGGCCAAAATAATCCACTTCTCGGGGGGGAAAGAACGCACTTTGGGGAGAATGCGAGCGGGTCGTGCACTTGGGTGAGCTGGTGTACCTTCCTTGCTCTTTGCGGTCGCCGTTATTTGTGGTTGAGAAATCGTTGGGGACGAGGAGAGCTGCGACCAAGATGGCGTCGCCTCCAAACTTCCACCACCACTTCCACTGTTACTTTGGACACTCATGAAGCCACTTTACCGCCGTGAGGAGCCAGCGTACACACTGCCGTTCGCGGAAATCCCGAACTCGCGTTCATGGTTCTTGACACCTGCCGTCGCCAAACGGGCCGGTAAACGTGAGTAACTCCGTGGCTGTCGGAGTCGCTAGACGTCTCGCATTTTGTGCTCCGTGCGGGTCCTGCGGAGGAGCGGCTTCTTTCGAGACTCGTTGAAACCGATCCAACGTAACCTTTGCATGATGACCGCACGCGCGCCTGTCAGCATCCAGTTCGCGAGCGGAGCTTTGATTCTGGTAGGCGAGGCTATCGCGAGGCTCGCGCGCGCCTAGCTGCGCGGTGGGGGGATGGCGTGACACCGAAACAGACACTGATCTGGGATCATTTTACCCTCCTCCAAAGTAGCCCGAGGTTCACCAGAAGGCGCTGCTCAGCGTCGACCTGAGAACAGCTCCTTGTTTTGGTGAAAACAACAAGCACCCAAAAAAAATGGCCGAAAGTTCGTGTCTGCTTAGATAGAAGGAAGGGAAAGATAAACGCGCAGTAGCCTTTATGTACACACACATAGTCATACAAACTGACTTTATGTTCGTAGATATGCGCACTACTGTAAGTAGTACGTACAGTGTGCCAGTTTAATTTGGCAGCAGGGAGTGAGCGTGTGGGTCTGTGTGATGACTGAGTAAATGTGTTACAGTAGGCAGGGCTGTGGTCTTGATATACTGTTGTTTCAGTCTTGAACTAAAAGTTGCGGGGAGGAGGAGGGAAGGAAGGTATGGGGGGGTGCAGGTGGTGGGAGGATAGTGATGTGGTCTGGGCTATAAGGTCTTTTGTTCCAAAATTGGTGCAGTGCATCAAAATGCCTTTGCTGTGTTGTAAGGCAGCACACACACACACAAAACTCTCTAACATTTAACTGTCTGGCCTACATCTCCCTCGGATTCCTGTCTAATACATTTATGTAACCTCGACATGTGCAGCTGGGAGTCAACGACTGTGCGGGGAAGCTTCCTAATCCCTAATATTTTTAGTGTTTTTAATCTTACGGGTTCAGATAAACATTCAAAGTGATAGTAAACACACCGCAAAACGGATTTTGTGTCTGTCAAACCCAGCTTCCCCTTGCAGTCATATTGCATCAGGCAACAGACGGAGCCACAAATGATCATACTGCACCTCATATGCACCTGCCCATGGTAACCTGATTTTTTTTTTTTGTCACATGGTTTCCATGGTAACAGAGCAATCGTCTTGACAGGCAATCAGGAGGTTGTATAAGCAGTGTACTACATTACGCTACACTATGTATGTACACACACACACACACACACACACACACACACACACACACACACACACACACACACAGAGTCACTCAGCCGTTATGATGTAATTCCAGGTATGAAACTGGAGTTGTGTTATGAGGAAAGGGCTGACGGCAAGCTGATATTCAAGAAGCAGCCACGACATTCCAGGAGCATCAAATGCCTGATGGAAAACCGGGAGTGTTGGCTGACATTTTACAAACTGCCTCCGGCTTGCCTATACTGCACACAGCTAAGGCCTGCAACAATAATGGCCTTTCAGAAAATAATAAAAGTTTGACAAAGCAGAGGAAGTGAAGCGGAAAAGAAGTAGCCGCACAGTTGCAAAGGTATGACTTTTTATAACAGCTCTGGCATCCAACAGTCCAACTGTTAAAAATAAAAAAATATAAAACAAACAATTTTCTGTTTAAAGTATTTCAATTATTTTCAAGCATAGAAAAACTCGATCAATTATAAGAAAATAAAGAAACATTTAAAATACCTTGATACACGTTCAAAGTCCAGATAAAAGTAAGACAATTTAGGATGCAGTCCATGCCAACATCCTTCTTTCCTTATATCATTTTATGATATATGAATCAATCCACTAATAAAAAAGCAGGTAGACTTGGAATAAAAATTAATGTACCTATGTAGTTTAAAAAATATTGAAATATAGTATTAGTAAATATATGCATCTGCAGTTATGTAGCATACTGTAGGCGACTACTCAATAAGGCTAAAAGTAGTAACAAATATGCTCATCAGAATATTTACAAGACAATCAAGAATCCTTCTGAAAAGGGAAAAACTTTCAAATCTCGCATCGTATGAAGATGACCATACCTCATGGACTAAAATGATTAGTTTAACTACAGATTCAAGAGACATTAGAAATAGTAAAAAAGTAATAGTAGAATCATATGAATAAAGTTTACTCTATAATACAATCTCAAATGAACAACATCACACAACATTATTATAACGAGTTATTATTTATTTAACATTAAATAAGCCAAAATGCAGTGTGTGGAAAAACTAAGCACACCCTTACTGCTTTTAGGAATTAAAAGGGGTAAGTAGCAGCTAAGTGCTGCTAATCAAATGTACTTGATTCCTCAGAAAGTGCTGGCACCTCTGTAGAAAACACCTCATACCAACTGTGATGCACGGTGGAGGAGGGGTGATGATTTGGGCTTTACATCATGAGCTCATCTGTATACCAAAGTATTCTAGAGTCAGATGTGTGGCCTTATGTCCGACATCTAAAGCTTAGCCAAAACTGGGTCACGCAGCAGGACAATGATCCCAAGTATAGCAGCAAATCTACCACAGAACCACCGAAGAAAGAAAAGAATTAAGGTGTAGCAATGGCCCAGTCGAAGTGCAGACCTCAGCCTGATTGAAATGTTGTGGCGGGACTCTGAGGTGTGCATAAATGACTGCTTGAAAACTTTACTGAGCTGAAGTAATGATTTAAAAAAAGAGTGAAGCAAAGTTCCTCTACAGTGATGTGAAAAACTGATAAAATAATATGGAATACGATTACTTTGGGTTATTAAGTTATTGGTAGTGTTGTTATACAAGTTACTGAATCACAGGCTGTTATAGTTTTTCATGCACTGCTTCTGCATTTAGCTTTTTGTTAAATAATAATAGTAATAATAACGACACAGTATAATATGTCATTATTACCTAACCATACTGACCTAACTTTAAGACCTAGCAAGGACTGAATATGTCTCGATCAGTAAAGAATAGTTTATCAGTTAGTTTTTTCCCTCCCTTAACAACAATCTGGTCTATTTTAGGCCACAGGCTTATTATAATGTTCTGGTTTGTTGCATAAAACACTACAAAGCATGTGAAGATTAACAGGTTGTTAACATGAATTTCACATATCCTAAACGTATTAATGAAAATGGAAAATACTTCCATGCACAAGGGTTCCTGTTTGTGAAAAGGGAGCTGCGTTTTAATGCAAGTGCACATATTTCTTGGTGAAAAGTGGGTTTTTAAAAATGTTTTATTTTGAAACTGATGGGAATGTGCGCTAAAAAAAGCTGTGTTTTAAAATGCAAGACATAAGAAGCAGCAGGGAAATGTAATCAGTGTTTTGTGAATTGCAAAATTTACTGTTAAATGTTAATCATTGTAGGAATAGGACACAGTTGGACGTCATAGTTTAATGCCATGACAGTTACATGAATGTCAGAGGAAGTCGTGGACATGCAACCGTTTCTTCAGAAAACAGAATTTTACTGCATTTAAGGCGATAACAATGGAAATATTACAGTTTGAATGCTTGTTCCTTAGAAAGAATTGTAAATGCTAAAATCTAAATGTACAAATTGATGAGTTTGTATTTTTAAGGATACAAATACATTCCTATAGAGACATTGGGCAGGAGTACATATAATCCACAAAGGTTAAGTCTATACTTCCGCCAGTGAAACCTTAAGAAAATATGCTCTTCCTGTGATTAAGGGGGGCCTGCCTTGCCTTTTCATACATGCTGACGTAGGATCTGAGGAGGTCTTCGATCGTGTGGGCCTGAAAAAGAAAAGAATGATTCTTTTTGTGCAAATCTTTCACGTCATATTTTATTCTCCTTAACATTTATTGGCATTCATTCTAAAGGAAATTCTGTGTTTTGTCATGCATCAAAATACATTCAAAGCCCGTCACTCACATTTGGGGTTTCACAGACAAAGGTGACGCCCCTGAACATGGTGCCGATGGTCATCTGGAAGGAGTTGCCTTTGCTGAAATATTCTGTGATGCGGCTGAACTCGTGCATTATCAGTGTATCCTAAAAGAGTTTCAAGTAATGCAATGTTATTTGCAAATAAGCACAAATGACCTTAGGCTACTGTAAAAATATAAATATATTGAGCTTTTTATTGAACATACCTTTGTTTCTGGGTCTACTAAGCGAACCCCTTGCTTATTGATGCCGATCAGAAGTATAGCTGGGTAGCTAGATTCACATGTTTGCTGCAAATGAAACAACGTAACATCAGTTTCCTCAAATTCTTGCGGGCCAGTGTGTCTGTCACTTACTCCAGCTAACTCACTTTAACTTCAAAGAAGGTACAGCCAAAGGTTGGCCAACTTGAAATGATTTTTAGGAAGTCGATTTTGGCTTCGTCCACTGTGATGCCACTCTGCTGCTTGTATGAGGAGATGATGTGCTGCAAGAAAAACAATAAAGCATAAAATAGCCTTACACCGGAGCTCCAATCCCATCTTCTGAGACATGAAATAGACCATTTGGGGGGTGCTTCTGTACAATTTGTTCTTTACCTTCTTCCATTCATCAGGGGACATGATCTTTTGCTGGTCAGCAGGAACCAGGTCCTTCAACATTTTGGGGATCATGACAAACTGTGACATGTCTGATTCTACTTTGACTCTGAATAGGAGCCCACCCAGAGTAATCATGTCTTCTTTGGTGCAGTCGTGGTATCCCCGCAGGTACTTCGATCGTTCCTGCAAAGAAGCAAATTCGAGGTAAGATATCATGACAATTATTCATCTTAAACATGAAAAGAATCTCAGTGAATAAAGAGAGTGGTTGTAATATAGATACCTGTGGGAAATGGAAAGTGAGATCTGCTTTCACATCTTTCCCCGGGTTCACATTGAACCAGAGCTTCCTCTTAAAGAGCACCAAGGAAGGTAAATTGGTCTGAGTGACTAAAAAAAGTGAGATTTACACTGATTAGATCTGTCAAGGCAAAGACATGCATAAAAAAAAAAGTGACCGCAGTTGGTTTACTCCATTACCTTCTTTCCCCTTTTTTCTTTTTTTGGGGACGTCTGAGGTTATCTTTAGACTGTCAAAGAAATATTTATCCTCCTCCATGCTCACCGTCTAAGAATTGAAACCAAAAAAGCTTCGTCACATAAAGGAAAAAGATGTATTTGTTACATATGGACTGTATTGTGATATTGTGCATAGCATTTTTGTCTTTTCTATCAGATCACTGTACAAGCTAATGTCTGATCGAAAACACTGAACTGACAGTGTTAGGCAACACCACCTTGGTTAGTGTTTTCAGGTACAGGCCGTATCCTTCAGGTGAGTACAGAATGAGCTGAGAGGCGATGCTGATGCACATGTCTCCAATTGTGGTTGTTGATGTCACCTCGACTATCTGCGCCACAGCAAGGACAAGAAATCATGATAACATTAAATCGACATTTAATGGCAAAACTGATTCTTAATCTCTCTCTTATGGTTAATACAACTCCAATGCCAAGAAACCTGTGACACTATGTTAAATGTGTCACAGCATTGATGAGCCAAATGTTTTTAATTTGTAAAAGGTCTGGACATCAGGTAGTTCAGCACCTGGACTCCTCTACTACTAAGCAATCCTGTTGCAAAAGCTTCAGTATGCAATTTTACATTGTCTTGCCGAAATATGCACAGACTTCCTTGGACGACACGTCATCTGGATGGGAGCATATGTTGCTCTAAAACCTGCATTGGTCGTTTCTTTTCAGATATGCAAGCTGCCAATTCCCTGTGGCATCAGAGATCCAGGCTTTTTTTTTTTGCCTTAGTCCATTTTAAGAGAGCTTTATCCCAAAGAAAAAGAAGGCAGCATATCTGGAACATGGGATATTTGGTCTTCCCAGTTTTACATTCAGGAATAATATTCTGAAAATTTCCCACAATTTGCAAATGCAATGTTTTGCAGATGGTGAACCTCTCAGCTTTACTTCTGAGAAGCTCCGCCCCTCTAAGATGTTCATTTTATACCCAGTCATGTTATTGATCTATTGCCACATAACCTAAACAGTGCAATAATATTCCTGCAAAGGTTTCTTTTTAGGTTTTCTAGCCTTTGCCAAATTTTTTGAGCTATGTTGCGTCGATCCAAATCAAAATGACTGAATATATTTCATCAAATAGCAAAATTTAACCCTTTCATGCAGAATTATGACAACCTCGATCAGGATTTTTTATTCATCTTTAGGCTTGAAAAGATGAATAACAATGCTTAAGAAAAAATCATGATCAAGGTTGTCATAATTCATGCATGAAAGGGTTAAATAACAATAATTACAATGAAACACATCATACATCTATAGTAATATTAAACGACCAGTAGGTGGCAGGGTATGGACACATCAGTGTGCAATGTAGTGGTTTATGTGCAAGTATATCATCAACACTGACACAAACTCAAGAAAACAGCATTTGGATAGTTGTCCACTGTAGTGACCACTATGCGTCAAAGGGGTAAACATTCAAGTTTAAACATTCAACATGATTTCATGTTCTATTGTGAAAAAAATAGGGATTTATGAGTTGTGCAAATGATTGCATTTTTTTAAAATGATCATTAAATCCAAAAATTGATCGAATGCAGGTTCTTACATCAGTTGTATCATCTGGGAAGTGGACTTTCTGGAAGATCTTAGGGCTGTTCTGTTGGATAGCGTCCACTTCTACGAAATGGGGAGGAAGATTCCTGGGCTTCTTACTGAGTATACAAAACAAATGAAGTTACACACACAAAAATATATTTATGTGGAATTTCAGATCACTAAGTTACAATACCGGTGTTATCTTGTGGATATGTTTTTAAAAAAAAAAAAAAATTAAACTCACTAAACTCAGCTGATAAACTTTTTTGTGGTTTCTAAAGTGTGCGTCTGACAAATCAGTGCATTGTGGTAATTTTGGGGGTCAGCATTTACCAGAGAGTAGATTCTGTCAGTTAGATTTTCATCACAATTTAATACCAGTTTTAAAGCAATGCTATTTCTAAAATACGGACAACCACATTTTGAAGTATCAAAATAGTCAGTAATTCTAATCTTCTCAGGATTTTTGTTTCTAAATAGTGTTCGTATCGCCAGGCTGACCTGCAGATCTCCTGCAGCCTCTCCAGGCAAAGAGCAGCCAGTGGGTATCTGGGCCGCGACTCCAGGAAGCACTGTGTGTGTTTCAATAAATCCCAGCTGGGCGGGAACAAGCCTGAACACAGCCACATCAGCTGCCACCCACGCTCCATACTCAAACTGAAGTGAGGGGAAGAAAGAGAAAACGATATGATGGAAATGGATTTTTTGTGATTATTGTTTTGGTGTCTTTCCGACACAGTGAAGCACACTGGAGAACCTGTTGCTGTTGGCGGTCATCTGTCTCATGATCTGGCAGTAAATTTCATCGCGCAGTTCTTCATGCTTTGTGGCTGGACCAAAGATCTGGTCGGTCAACTCTACGGGACTGCGGACATGTTTGATGGGGTAGTCGCCCATGTACTTCAGGATGGGTAGAGGCTAACGTTAAGGACTCAAACGACATTAAAATTAGACATGGCTCTTTCCTCTTTAGATTACAGACAAACTGCTGAAGAATTTGGTACCATACTTTCAAATATCTGCCTATGTGAACCAACAGTATGGATGCTAGTTAAACTGTGGTTTAGTAATAAGAAAACATCTCAGGAATCCTTAAATGCAGGTACCAGTTCATGTGTTTTTTAAAAGGATATCAGTGAAGGCACTGCAGGCCAGGTTGCTGAGCTCAGAGTTGTTGACCAGCACCTTCAGGAGTGGTTGCTTGAGAGGCTCTCTGGAAATGACCCACAGTTTCTCCCTGTTGCCTCCTTTGTATCCTTGCCGACCGCCACTCACAGATCTGCGAGGGACAAAGAGCTTAAATATCGTCTGCACGAGTGCTGTTCGATTTGCCAAATGAAGAGTCAAACATGAATGCCACATTTTTGAGAAGTGGCGTTTAGCTAAAAATACAAGAGCCTCAGTATTACCTGAAATTCTCAAGGGCAAACTCTTTCAAAGAGACAGGGGCCACTGTTTCTTCTCCTTGAACGGGGTTAAGAACTAGTGAAGCTCTCCTCTTATCCTGCTTTGGATTGAGTTGTTCCTGAAGGGTCAGAAGCAATTTGCCAGATAAACTACAAGAGGGCGTTATGTGATGTGAACTAACAGAACTTGTGCACCTCTCACTGCATAGACTTAGAAGCGCACGATGAAAAATCTTCATGTCTGTAAAGATTTTTTGTTCTTTAGTAAAGTCTTTACCATTAAAACACCATTAAAAAAATGAAATCAGTGATTTGCCTATACCTGAGCTCTGATAAACTAGTCATAACTACTCAACATGTAAGGTAAAGTCAACTTTACCAGCATTTCACTAGTGGGCTCGGTAAGAGTTGGCAGGAACAGCAATATTTTCTTATAGACTGCACCAGAGCTGCCAGTGCGCTTGTTGGTGGCGATGAAACAGCTCTCATTAGGGGCACTTTTTTCTTTGTCTACTTGCAGGAGGTCACCGCGCTTACAAACCAGAAACAGCGGGTCATCTGCAGAAGCGTACAGAGACAGACAGACAGACGTGAGTGTTTTGGTGTGCGTGACTGTATTTATGGATACTGAACATGCTGTAGACTCTTACCTGATTTGCTAGAGTCCTGCTGCGCGGTTGCAAACACTGAGCGCTGTCTCAGCCCTTCCACATTGTTCTCTATCAGTGTTACAATTTTCTCAGCTTCAGGAGACTTCAGGACATACTCTCCTGTGATCGTGATCAAGCTAATGGTCTGGGCACTGTCACTAAATGGGTCATAATCATCAGTGTCAGTTTTATTAGATTCTTTTAAAGGCACAATTTAAAAAGCTTTTTAAGAAAGTAAATAGAGCAAATTTACATACACACAGACATAAAAATGTGAGACCGTACCTTTTCTCCTGGACTTTCCTAACTGCTATGTAAGGAATTTCATGAAGTTGCCTATTTCTCTCGTCCATGAAGAAGATGCCAGTCCAGTTTATAGCCACAATAAATCTGTTTTTGGGCAAAGGTGGTCCTGTGGACAGATATGGTGTTGCAGATTTTAAGTAGTGAATTGGAATTCATAAATGCTAGCTAGCAAAAGTAAAGTTTGTAATACAAATGTGTAACACGGCAACATTCACTTGTAAAAGGATTGTATATCCCAGCCTCTGTGTGAAAAAAGCTGTGCGCAGACTCACCTGATATCATTATGACTTCAAAAAACTTTGAAAAGTGGATTGCCCACTTCTTGCGTGCGATGTCCACCAGTTCTCCTTTTACCTCATCCGAGTTTTGCCTCCCACTGACATAAGGACCCTACATGAGGTAACGACGATTGTGAGGGTGCCTCTATGAGGCGTTATGTTTTAAAACAATCCATGCTGACCATACATAAAATAGACTGATTTACCTCTTTGTGTGCTGAGCTGATGAACTGGGTCCATCTTGTTTTAGACTTGCTTTCAATAAGCTGGGTGGTGATGCACTCATTAACCACTTTGGTGACGTTCTCAACGCTATACTCGGAGCCAAACATGATGTAATAGTGCATTATTGCCAGCTGGATATAATCATCATCCTGAGTAGATAAAGTACAACTTTATTAGATACAGTTGACAAAATGTTTGGAGAACATCATGATAAAATTTATAGTAGAATAAAAAGTGGACAAATAAGAAATAGTTGACCTCACTAAGTAACTTATTTGAGCTGCAAAAATATTTGAAAACTACAAAATGCCTGCTGATATACTGTTTAGCACCACAGTAGGGTAAATTTTACATTTACAGTTATCTAGTTTCTTACTCTTAATTTGTTCATTTAAGAATCACAATTATTGCATTTACTCTAAAAACACAATGGATGAAAAAAATAAATAAATAAAACTTTACTGATAGATTTTCTTGTTTTCCAAATCCTTCCTTGTTCTTTAGTGAGACACAGGCAATAGAAACTAGCCGTGAACAAACATCTACAAATTTCAGGCTAAGCTAGTAGGAAATGGTTGCCCGTCTATGCGTCTGACAGCCACAAAGCAATGTAAGCAGTCAGCTATTCCATTTAAATTAACATCGGCTTTCACTTTCCTAGTCGTTATATTTTTCCAACTCTTTGGCCGTTACATACATCCCACCATGTATCCAAGCTAGTTGTTCACTTTCTTCTTCTGTCTGCCATTTGCTTAAACGTTAGCTAAGCTAAAGCCAAGCTAAGATGTCTTATAAGGCTTACAGGAGCTGCAAGATTGAATGAGAGGTTTCTGTGGGTTTGTCAGTTGTTCTATTGTTACAATATAAATCCTGATTAAAGAAGGATATTAAAATAATTATTCACGAGTTACTTCTCAGACTGCAGCAGTTTTACTGGCTTTAACTGTTTTACGTGATAAGGCAGCTAGCTTATCACTGGAAGAGACTGCAGTCCTTTACAAAACCTTGCCATGAAAATGAAGGCATTTTTATTTTATTTTGAAAGGGGAGTGCCTTGGAGGCTTTTTTATATTTAAGGTCTTTTACGCGTTGGGCCAGCAACAATTAGTGCCCCTTTTGTGCTTTATTTTGTACATAAGATGAAAATACACCAGAAAAGTAGATGTGCATACTGCGATTTTGGAACTTAATAGCCTGAGTGTCATGAGCGGTGACTGTAAATAAAATGTATTATTATTATTATTATTACACACTGTTTTCCATAATATTTCAGGAAAAAAGAAAAAGCCTTACCTTATCAGCAACGTACTCTCCTGCCTTGATTCCTTTGATGATCTGCCTGTAGATAAGATCTGTGCTGACTTCATCTAGTTTACTTTCGTGCCAGGGTGTGAACAGTTCCTTGCGGAGGGACAGCGACCATGGGGTATCCTTCTCCAGTCTGCCTTGCCTCCTCATCTCTTCCTCACACTGAGATATTGCATCTAGCACGTGTGCCCCAGAGTTCCCCAGAGACCACATCTGGTGACGAGAAGTCAGCAGAGTTTGAATGAGTGTGGCAAACTGCAAATCTTTCTGCACTGGACTAGTCTGAACCTACAGTCAGAAGATACAGAGTACCCAAGCCTTGATGTAGAATCAGAAGCTTTCACTGACCTTGTCATAGAGCCTAATGTACAGGGAGAATCCGTAGGTGTCTTTGAGACCGATGTCATTGGCCACATCTTGGCAGACTTCCTCAGATGTGGAGGACGAGTTCAGTTGTATTTCAATATTTCGACCATCCTGTATTGCCACAGTCGTATCAATGGGTTTCCTGGTCCTGGCAGCCTTTCAGTGCAGGGTAAGAAAGAAGAAAAAAACCAGTTGTTTCCAACCACAATTCAAATTTTGCTGCTGCTGGCCAAAAGTTAAAACGAAATAAACAGTGACCTCAGCACCATATTGGAGCACCTTCTGCTTTTTACCTGTAGCTCTATCCAGCAGGGCAACTCTTTTCTTGGTCCATTGGCTACGATACGTTTCAGGCGCTCAATGCAATACCCCCTGTAGTCATATGGCCCTCTGCGCAGAAAGTTCTCTAAATACTGTGAAGCACAGAACAGGACACAGTAAGCAACACGATAATAACTCGGCTAAATTCAAGTAAAGTGGCATGACAAGGATTAAATATGAAGTTTGAGTCAGGATTAATAAAATGACTTCATGTAGACTGACCTTCCTAAAGAGGTCTGTTGGAGGGAAAATCCCCAGACAGATGGAGAGAAGAATCCACCCTTGCATACGATTCCTCCTGTCATTGTTTTTCAACAGCTGTTTACAGATCTGACAATAGATCTCATCCCTGCACAGAGAGAGAACCAAAAAAATGAAAAAAGTAGGTAACGTCTTAAAATACAGCCCATAACCACAGTTCCCTGTAATTAAATGGAATTGTAGTTATTATAATCGAAATAACAATGTAATCATATTTATCTACAAATACTTACATTTAAGTACTGCATATGTAATTTTAATTGATGTCTAAGTAATTTTAGGCAGCCTGTGTAAATCCCAGAAAGTTGACTCGTTTTCAGTGGGAGAAACCTTTCATCACACATCCAAGTAAATACGGCCCACAGCCCAAAAACTATAGCCCGTCTAGTAAGATGAGAAAATTATTGTTTTTCTGCAAAATTAGCATACAATTTCACACTACTTAAAATTACTTACACACATTTACCTACAGTTATTTACAGATATATCATATTGTTCATTCTTCAAAATACTTGTAAGGCAGCATTTACCATATGCCGTGTTTTGACAGAGCATAGCCGATGATGATGTGAATTTTTTCCAAGTCTGAAAGTGGCCTTTGCAGCGTGGTACCCTCTCCAATCATAACATCCTCTTCTCCTGTCAAGTTTTCTGGCTGGTTACGATGACAATAATACAAATAACAGTGATAATAATAACAATTACCACAGAGTGTGTGTTATGAATCAGTGACAGAAAAAAAAGACAGAATGAAGAGTATTATAGTCACCTCCTCGGGGATAGAAGAGGCTCTTCTGTCAAACTTTTTCTTGTTCTTCCTCAGTATTTTCTGTCCGAGAATGACATCATTACTAGAGGTTAAATAGTTTGATTGTTTTTTTCTTTTCAGTGTAATAATAAGATATATGTAATAGTTTACCTGGTCCAGTCCCACCAAGTTGCTCAGCCTCCTGCCCTGCCTGCTGGGTAGAGCCTGGGGCGTGTTGCTTGATGCCACTGATATGGCATCTGAGGATTTGGGTTCTGGTATATCCCCCATGAAGCGCAAAATGATCCACCATATAGTCAGACATGCCTGGAGGTGAGGAGAGGAATGAGAAACTGTTTGTGAGGAGAGAAATCTCTTGGGTTAATAGTGATACGGCTGTGACTCGTTCCCGTCTGACTTCTCACCAGTGTGTCACCCTCATCGTCGTGATGCAGAAGAGACTTCTTGAGTCGGTAGGGTATGTGCGTGTGGCTGGCGCTGTCCTGGAAGTAACGCTGGCTGAACCTGTAGAATGAAAACTCATCACCGTCGTCCTCAAAGTCATCGGTCTCCTCCTCCTTATCTTCATCCACCGAAGGGGTCGGGGATATCGAGTTTGATGGTGGGGTGACTATCAACTCTGGCTCCAAGAGCTCAGAGATTATCTTTACAGGCTCTGGACTGCTGTGACTCGTCTTTGGAGGGAAAAGAGAATTTATACCAGATCTTAAACGCACACACTCAATGAAGAAAAACTAGGACATGTTAACATGACAGAATTAGAATCAGCTAACCTCAGATTCTGAAGTTTCTTCGTCTGCTACATTGACTGAAGGCGTGACGGGAAGATCTTCGTCGTCTGAATCGTGCTCTGACTCTGACTTGGTTTCATTGTCCAGTATCTGTGAGACCTCCTCCAGCTGTTTTAAAACTAAAGCCTTCGAGACAAAAGAGACAAAAAAGGTTTGAAAGTAGGCTCCTTTTCAGAGTGCAACTTGTGCAACTTTACCTTCCAAGATGCTGAGCACTCACCGTGTTCATCATGGACTCAACTTCCCTTCTGGCCAGCACTCCTCGCCTTTGCGCCTGCAGCCGTGTGACTGCCTCTCTCTTTTTCTTCAAGTCCTTCCTCGCCACATAGCCTCGTACCTAAACCCGATCAATCAGTGCAATTTAAAGCAAATTATTTAAGAAATAACAAAAATATCAGTAATGAATTAAATACACAACAACCGATATGTAACGTAGATTTTGATAAGATTTGATAAAATATCCTAATTTCACTATAAAATGCTTAAAATTTGATCAAATACAGCGATATTTTCCAATATTCCAAACAATAAAAAACAACTACTTGTAACATATTGCACTAAACAGTTGCTACATGAGAGTACATGCCTGTGCTTGTATGACGACTGCTGCTTCTCGCTGCTTTTGGTACTTTGCCTGGAGTTTCCGGCTACGGATTAGTGCTGCCAGCCGCTCAAAGCCGCGCTGAACCTGGTCAGACCGAAAGAGGGAAGCAAACCTGAGGTGAGTCCTCCCTAAACATCAAGGCAGCTACAAGCTCTGACTTCTATAAAAAGTTATTGAACCTTTGTTTTCATGTAGGCTCTCCAGGACCGCTGTAGCACCACGGCTGCCGAACGCTTCCTCAGAAAAGACTTTCTAAAAGAGATTTGAAGCAAAGAACTTAAGTTATTAAAAAGGTGTATTTTTAAGCCTTCATATGTGCAGTCCTTTCCTCTTATGTGTCCCCTCTGCACTGGATATGAATGTGTAGGATATCCTGCACCTGTCTCTCTGTCCAAGCATGACTCTCTGGATCACCAAAGCTACCCTGCTGAGCTCTTGTTCCCGCCGCTTTTCAAGAATAGAATCGTGAACATCCTGAAATAAAGAGAATTTCTTTTAAAAGACTTTCTGATATTGAAGAAAACTTCAATTGTTAATCATATTTCAAAAATGAATCCACATTAATGTGGATTCAGATTAATGTGGATTCATTTTCTGCAATCATTCAAGAGAGATGTAATGTCTCTTTGATTTAGTGTTTCGCTATGTCATGGCCACGATCATCTAAGGAGCGATCGTGGCTCAAGAGTTTGCAGTTCGTCTTGTAATCGGAAGGTTGCCGGTTCGAGTCCCGGCTCGGACAGTCTTGGTCGTTGTGTCCTTGGGTAAGACACTTCACCCATTGCATACTGGTGGTGGTCAGAGGACCCGGTGGCGCCAGTGTCCGGCAGCCTCACCTCTGTCAGTGCACCCCAGGCTACATTGTAGCTGTAGTTACAATGTAGCTTGCCATCACCAGTGTGTGGATGACTGAATGTGTAAAGCACTTTGGGGTCCTTAGGGACTAGTAAAGTGCTTTACAAATACAGGCCATTTACTATCTTGTGCCTTGAGAAAAAGCTACAATACAACATGGTTTGCAGTTAGAAGTTTTCGGCACCTTTAGGAAAACTTTGGTATTGCCTATTTTCCATTCGCCCTCCCTTTCGATCACCGCCTCACAGATGGCTTTACAACAGGCCGCAGCAGACTCCTGGAGAGACAGTAAAGAATATATCAGTTAAGAACTGATGAGAGAACCCAATAAAAGACTCATTTTCACATCTTGGGTTCCAAAAACAGGATGCATCATGACTTAACGGTATTGGGGTTGCAGACGGTCGTCTTCAGGAGCACCCTGTAGCGCTTTAAGAAGTCGTCGAACGTGTGTCGAATGGGAAATCCCAGCTTCCGAATACGGATGGTGTCGATCATGCCGGAGTATCTCAGCTGACGCATACACAGCTCTCTGTCAAACACCTAGAAGAGAACAAATTAAAGTGGTGATGAATATTCTCTTAACACAACAACTATCCAATCTTTTTATTTTTCAGGCTGAACTATGGGGTGATTTCCACATCTACAGTAAATGTCAGCAGTTCATTACTCTAAGCTTGATTTGAGTGTGTACCCAATCAAATGATCATCCAAGCCGAATTTGGCACATGTGAATATATCTGTGTGCCAGATTTTGATTCTATCAAATTTCAAATCTACCCAATGTTTATTCTCACTTTTTTATTTTTTACAACAGCTATTAACCTCAGAGAGGCTGGAAGAAAAGTTGTCAAATACCTCTGAGGTATTCCATCTCAAAAATGTTTTCAAATTTTATTTTCACATTTTTTATGGTCCCGAGTTTGAACATATATAATGATTGCTGTGAAATTTTTTGCTCAAATACTTTTCAAGATCTATTTTTTTTAAAAATGGCCCGTCGACCCACCGGATATTTTTTCACACTTTGAAATATGTGGTAATTTTTGAACATGAATATCTAAAAATCTATTGAAGATAAAACCCTGGAAAATTCAGTGCTTTTTTCATAGCAATCCTTACATATGCTCAAACTTTGGCTCATTAGATTTTTAGGTAAATTAGGGAAGGTCAAGCAGAAAATGTACAAAGCATTTGCTGATTTGAGACTTAATGACCCATTTGAATTTGAAGTGGTCCTGTGTGGACCACGATCACCAAGTAAGTGCCAGTCCTGCCAGCAGGTGCTTGGATTTCACAGGAGAACTGTGACACGTGGCACTGTGGACTAACAACGCTTTGCCACAATATTGGTCAGGGAGTTCAGAATGTGTGAACTTTTCATGACTTCTAGTCTAAATCCAAAGGGTGAGAAAAGCTCAACAGATACTAGCGCAGCATTGTACTTTACTCTCTGTGATATCAGGTGATATTTAACAGGAAATTGGCTCCGTTGGTTTATGGCACAAAACAGAATGAGCTCTATTGCAAATGGTGGCAGTAAACATAAAAAAACAAAACAAAACAAAAAACACAGCAACATCCTTATCATTTCGGGAAATGACAGGATTTAAAGGAAATGTCTTAATTTCAGCAAACATTAGTTTGCTGAAATACACTAGTTTATCACAAGCTTCCCCCTCATTTCCCTTTCTTAGCATACATGATTGCTCAGTTTACACAGCAACTGTATGGTGTTGCCATGGCGGCAGAAGCAGTTGCTCATTCACCTCAGATTGCTTGCCATTGTTGGGTTTGAAACAGCGGATGAAGAAAGGCTGGCAGGCAGACAGAGCCTTCATTAGGGAGTCCAGAGACTGCCGGAATTGGCCGCTCAGTGTCGGCACTTGTTTGCGAGTGTCAGCCAATCCCTGTGAGGATGACACGTGACAGAAGGAAAAACTCAAAAATGAAGTCCTTGATACACCTGATCAAATAAACATTGGCAGCGTTATGAAACTAAATGACACAGGAACATTTATTGCAGTTTGCCCAAGGATCAGACATGACTTTATCCTTTCATACCCGCAGAGAGTTGCTTGGGGTCATGATGAACTTTTTATTTTTAACAGCCTTAATCCCATTGGTTGACAGTTCAGACTCAAATATGTCACGCAGTAGCTTATTGGCAGACATGTCGAGCATCTTAATGATGTCCGAACTGACAGCATCCCTGTTCTTTTCCAAGAAACCTGAGGAAGGAGAAAAAAGGCAACAACAAAGTATTACTGCGCTCATGAGCACCTTGCGTTGGCTGAGGTTTTAATATTTGCTGTTTGCTTGCCTACCATTGGAGTCGTACTGAACCAGGCCAGCGAAGTGACAAATCCCAAAGTTTGTGTCACGTTCACTCCTGGAGGCGATGTAGTTCTTGTGTCCTTTGTGGTGCTGGTTCAACTTCTCTAGCATCGTAGCATCTGTACCCTAAGGCCAACCAAGTGATTCTTTTGAATAAAAAAGTTTCTGCAGCAGGGCAGAACCTTAAATAAGAAACCTCAGCAGAAGCATACCTTTGGAAAGTGGCTCTCTTCATCAACAAGAGCCAGCACATTACATTGTATTCCAGCTAGAAGGTCGAGAATCTTCTGATTGTCGCTAAAGTTGATGTTATCCCACATGACGCCCTGCTTCATGTACTCCTTCTGCTCGAGCTTGAAGATGTGGGCCACGAAGAACTGCTGCAGCTTCTCGTTGGCAAAGTTAATGCAAAGCTGCTCAAAACTGTAAAATAAACGATGGCTTGTAAATAGTGATAACTGTGAAAATTAGATGCCTTAGTATACCACGAAATGCCAGCTCTGTCTGATCGTCTAATGTTTCATAAATATGTCAGGGCGGCAGTGCAGCGGCTGTGAAAGCTTAAAGATATCTGAGAAATACGTTTGACTCAACTAATCGAATGGGTAAAAATGAAGATACTGGTAATGTACACTCACAGGCCACTTTATTATGTACTTTATTAGGTTCAGCTGCTTGTTTCCTTAAATATCTAATCTATGCTGCTTTGCATCAACAGTTCAGGCTAAGGTTATTGTAGCTGAACAATACTAAAGTGAAAAAGAGTACTAGACTTTTTAGTTAACTAAATTAAAAAGAAAAACTAGACTTTAGAAAAAAATGAAACTGAAATGATTTTGTGAAAATAAAAAATATATTCTTAGTTTTATTAGTTGATAATCCTGTAAAATTTGTTATCACAACTTGTCTATTAAGGCTTTGACAAAAATGTTTATTGAGACTTTGGAAGTTTATGAGCCTGTGAGTCACCTGCTATCAAATTTTTTTTGTTTCTTAAATTGTAATGTCAGTACTGATTTTGTAAAACCTTGCTTTTGGCATACGCCCTAACTACAATAATAGCTATAAAGACTAAAACCAACACTGAAACTAATAAAAATTTATAACAACAATAAAAAACTAAACTAACATAAACTAAACTGAATTCAAAATAAAAAGTCAAAATGAAAAAAATATCTGATGAAGTACAAAACAGGAAGTACAGAAAAAAACCCTCCTGACCTGTTAGTGTTGAAGTTCTCGAAGCCAAAGATGTCAAGCAGGCCGACGGACAGGTAGGCTGATTTGGAGTTGCTGGTCAGCTTCTTGTAGATGACACTGTTGATTTTCTTAACAATCCATATGAACAGCTTATTGTAGATCGCCTGAGAGAACAGAAACCCAGCAGAGTTACATTTTGGTGGAGTTCTGAAACACGCAAAATGTTTATTCTTTTCTATATTTAATTGTTTCTTTTGAGCTCTGCACCTGACCCACATGTTGGTGACGATGTGTGTGGATTTGTACACGTCTTGTACCTTACAATCATAAGAAATCAGTCAATCTACACTGAAGCTCATCAAGGAAAAGTAAGATGAGAGTTTTCTAAAACATGCCGAGTAACTGTAGCAACGCTGTAAGCACCAGTCAAAGGTTGGAAACCATCTCCTGCTCTATCACAGTGAAACTGGAACGCTTCCTCATAAAGTACAGCGTGCAGCATTTACAGGGCCCAGGTTTCTTTCATCCTAAGCCAGGAACCAATAAGGAAGCAGTGATTTAAAATTGCTGGCTCTCCCTCGTTACCTTCACAAAGGCGTCTCTGCAGTCAGCTGCCTGTTCACAGCTCAGAGGTTTAGTCACCATTTCACGGTTGGTCTTAAAGGATCGATGAGTCAGATTGGTTGCCAGGGTGGGCTTCTCCACCTTTAAGCACAAGAAACATAGAAAAAAACCTTTACTAGTGCTATTTAATAGCAAAGTAGATCTTACCTGCTAATAGAGAAGGAGACCCACCTCCAGTAGTGATGCCGCCACATTGAAATGTTCCGATTTGCTGACTTCACTGGTTTCCAGGTTATTTTGAGTGTTGGCTGATGGAAACACAAATTCACACATAAGACACAAACAGCACAATAACAGCTGTAAGGAGTAATCCTGTGAAATGAGGTCAGTGTGAGTTTTAAAAGATATTACAACCAGTCAGGAGATTTAACCAAACCACTTCCAACTACACAAGTACAAGTCACAAATGTATCTAGCTTGGAACATAAAATAATGCTAATGCACAAATCCAACAGATGCATCTAGGGACCAAAAGCTGATGGTGAAATTAATATTCTTTTGGTTCTCTGGTGTCAGTGAAACAAAGAAACTTTCATTCATTCCAAAACAGCTGTTCCAAAGTTCTAACCATCCATTCGCTTCCGCTTATCCTTTTCAGGGTCGCTGGAGCCTATCCCAGCTGTCATAGGCCAAGAGGCAGGGTACACCCCGGACAGGTCGCCAGTCTGTCGCAGGGCCAACACACAGGGACAGACAACCATTTGCACTCACATTCACACCTAGTGGTAATTTGGATTATCCAATTAACCTAACCCCACAAGCTGCATGTCTTTGGACGGTGGGAGGAAGCCGGAGTACCCGGGGAGAATCAACGCAATTAATGTGTATGTGTTAGTCCCCACAGGGAAATAGTTCCTCTGCATTTAAGCCATTCACCCAGTGAAGCAGTGGGCAGCCACCAATGCAGCGCCCGGGGAGCAGTGTGTAGGGACGGTACCTTGCGCAGGGGTACCTCAGGGTAGCCGTTCAGTGGAGTTGAACCCCCGACCTTCCGATCATGGGGCCACCACTCTACCTACTGAGCTATCCCTGCCCCCGCAAACACGGGGAGAACATGCAAACTCCACACAGAAAGACCCCGGCCTGATGGTGGAATTGAACTTAGGACCTTCTTGCTGTGCGGCAACAGTGCTAACCACCGTGCTGCCAAAGTTATATGTAAAAAATCATGACACTATCTCAACTTTGTTTGGGAAACGGTGACATGAGCCAAACCAATAAACCAATAAGATGCTCTTATTTATTATATGCTTGTTTTTTGGCACTGAATCAAAATCTAGCATTGATAAAATTAGGAATGGAGATATGTTTGATTAAACGTTAGGCAACACTTGAATAGCTGTTCTGCTGAAATCTGATAGGGAAATGATTTTAAAGATAAACTAAGCTCCATTATGTGCAGGCTAAATCTTTACATAGTTTCTAACTCTGTATCCTCACCCTCAAAGCAGACGTTTCCCAGGTGTAGTACGGCCGCCAGGAGCTTGAAGATTTCATGACAGTCTTTTCCTGAGAAATTCAGCGTTTTTAGGGCGGAATTAATACGACTGTAGTCTTTGGCATCGTCTCGTCCTCCACAAGCAATGCAGTTGCCCTGAAGAGTGAGAGACAAGATTTAGAATAGCTAGGAGAAAGCAGGGGTGTCAAACATAAGGCCTCGGGGCCAGAACAGGCCTTGCAAAGACTCCAATCTGGCCCACAGGACAGCTTTGGAAAATGTGAAGGGGTGCGTAGATTTAAAACTTTTAATTGTATTTTCATAAGTTTTACAGCTTTGCCAATTAATAATTAACAATACTGCAATTTATACTACACACTAAAGTAAATGACTAATAGATTACATGACATACAATTTCTTATTTTTCTACTATCTAGTGTAGAAATGTCTGTTTTGTTTTGTTTTTTACAAAAAAGAAAAAGAAAACTTGCTGTGAATTAATAAAACCTTTAAAACTACAGGACAGTCTGGGTAATGAACTAGCAGAATTTTTTCCATAAATTACACGACATCACAATAACTTCACCAGCAATGCGGGCAGTCACAGCCTTCCTCATTGCAATACCTTGGTAAGGAATTTGTATTCCTTGGCATTCCCGAGGCTCAGGCGTTTTTTCTCCTCTGCTGAGATTCCTGCCAGCAGGCAGTAAAATATGTGGTAATTTCGCTCCTCCAGAGCCTGAGGTTGCAGAGGAAAAAATTAATCATTAGTGTTACAAAATGATAAGCTCACGCAAGTTTTTATGCGGGCTGGGTGGGAACATGTTTACTTTAGCTTCACTCCTCTTGTTGATGGTACTGATAGTGACAATGGCAACAGCAGCACACGAGATTAAGCCAACAACAGCACATAGACTGAAACAAACTCTTCAGACGTAGCGTGTTGTGTTTTTACTGGTTTACCGCACATTCCCGCCCCGTGGAGAGATAACAAAGGTTGTCTTGAACAGAGCTTACTCACCTGACGACAGACACGAGACTTTTCCAGAAGATACTGCTCCACGCGTGCACCCTCAATCACTCCATCCTTGTTGAAGAAGATTTCCAAATATTTCCCAAAGCGGCTGGAGTTGTCATTGCGGATTGTTTTAGCGTTTCCAAAAGCTGAAATGCAAAAAGAAAAAAAAAGTTGTTGTTGTTCATCCGTGCCATAAAGACAACATTTAATAATGACTGTGCACTCTTTGGCTGGTGTTTTCTACCTTCTAGAATCGGGTTGGACTCCAGGATCTGCTTCTCAATCCGCTGCTCAGAGAGCTCACCGCTGACGGCTGCCAGGTACTGCAGGATCAGTTTAGTGCTCTCGGTCTTCCCTGCTCCAGACTCCCCACTTACAGAGATGGATCAAATCAATGAGCAGTTGTAAAGAATCAAATTCAGATATTAAAGATCCTCAGTGATATAACAGACGCTGACCTGATGATGCAGCACTGGTTTTTTTGATGGCGAGTCATGTTAAAGTAACAGGCCTCAGCGATGGAAAAGATGTGGGGCGGGAGCTCTCCCAGTTTTCGCTTATGGTATAACCTCACCTGGAGACAAAAAGGAGGGTACGCGTGTGAAGTAGATCACTGCGATGTTACAGTGAAGTCATCAGCTGCGCATATCCTTACCTGCTCTTCTGTGTATATTGGAAAATCTTTGTATGGATTCACGGCCACCAGCACCGAGCCCGTGTAGGTCTACCCAATCAGAGAAATGTTGCATTAGAAAAGAATCTCCTTCAACTTTCTCCACTTACTACGTGTTTATACACAGTCAATAGTTATTATTAATCTCTGGCTCTATTCCACAACATCTCCCTGAATCTGAGAGTTTTTCCTTCCCACTTTCAAAGTGTTTGCTTGTGGGGGTCATCTGATTGTTGGGGGCTTTCTCTGTTTTCTGTGTATTATTGTAGGGTCTTTACCTTACAAAATAAAGTGTCTTGAGGCTGTTGTTGTGATTTGGTGCAATATAAATAAACTGAATTGAACTGAATTGAAAATTTAACCAAAATGATGTTAGGGGTACATCCTGTGTGTGGAGTGACAAGATACTTAATGTTGCTCTTGTCAAATGATCCAATGCTATTTTCAATCACGGCTAAAAACAGAGCAGTTATTAAAGTTATTAGAATGCTTACTTATATCTGCTACTTATGTCTATTCATATCCATCTCATTATGTCAGACACTAAATAAAAAGGTAAGAGTATGAACATTTAGAAAGTTTGTCCACCGGACCTGTAAAATGATAAATGTTACACCGTCTGTGTTTTTATTTGCAACTCAGTAAATGTTTGTTTTTTTTAACTCTTGAATAAAAAATGTACTGTCACTAGTAAAAGACAGTGAAAATTAAATGTTCGACAGTGAAGTTTGTGCAAATTTGGAGTCTGCCTGGAGATTTAAAATGTTCTATTGTTCTGATTTGCCACAATTGAATCAAAGTTGATTAAAAGAAAGAAATCCCAGCGAGAGAAATCTGAACGACTCGTGTGAGGCTGGAATCAAACATCAAGGGAAGATGTTTTAAGGTGTTCTGGGAGAAACGAACCGTTACAAATTAAAGGAATATTTCCTATAATCCATTATCAGGCCATCCAATTGTTCTTAACCACTTATCCAAATCAGGTTTGCAGATCCCTGCTGTCTTTGGGCAAAAGCGTTAACAGCATAGTGTCTATATCAGGTCATTCACAGCACGCTGGCCTCATGATGTGTAGATATTTTGAAAATTGAGTTGAATGAACCAAATCCATTTTACTTTTAATCTGCTTTTTATCCTCAGCAACTGTCTTCTCTGTCTTGTAATATATTTTTTCTATATTTGGCTCTGGGAGACGCTTTGCTGTGTCATGTTTATACAATGACAGTAAAGATAAAGATACTTGACTTAAAGTACAAGCGTCCAAAGCATGTAGACTGGCGACAAAAATCATTTTTTCCTTCAGTGTGTTGCTCACATAGATGATGCCTTGTCTGTGTCTGAGCAGGAGGTTCCTGAGGAGACCGGCCTCCGTCATGTCCCCGAGTTTGATCATGTCGTCCACCCCCTCCACCGATGTAGGATGCATGATCTTGAGGGAGGCTTCCTGCTCCGGTGACAACCTGCGCTCCTGAGGAAGGGTGAAAACGGGAATACACTCAGCAACATAACACCAACTGTTGCCGTTTTGGGATGTTTGACTTTTACCCTGTAAGAGTGCAAAAGCACTGTTTACCTTTCCCTCATCGTCCACCAGCAACCGCTGACCCGACGGTGTTACTTTGACCCTTGCTCCGATGGGCACCCCTATGCTCGAGTCCACCCAAACCCATTCCCCCTGAAAGCAAAAGACAGAAAGATTTCACGTTGTCCTTCAGGGACACGGGACTAGGTTTCAGTTTACGGGAACACAAAGAGACACTCGGTGGGGCGGCAGTTCTCTCAATAAAACTCACATCTCCAAAGTTATTATCTCGAGTTTGTTTCAGCCTTACCTTTCTCAACATCACAAGTTTCTTTTATTTCTAGTCCCTGGAGAGAAAAAGAAAAAGAAATCCATACAATGAGTTGCTATTACCAAAGTACTGACGATTTAAAGGGTTTTGTTTTGGCTTTTTTAATCTGAACTGTTGTGTTCAATGTCAGCGCTCAAGGTGTGCAGCGGTAAAACAAATCACAGAGCACTGTTAATGTCACCGTTAAAATGAAAACGGTCTACCCGATGATCCTTTGGTGTGGGATCTTCATTAATTCCCGTCTCGTTCCTCGTCTTTGCGTCTTATAGAATCCGTCTCCGTATGAGGAAGGATAAAACTCAGCGTGCCTATGAGTGACAGAGGTTTTATGACGCTTTGACTTTGGACTGACTGTAAGAGGAGGAAGAGAAATGGATCGCTTACTCAGAAGTGAATAAGGAACTTGTCACAGTGGAGTGATGTGTGTCTTTCTGGGCAATTTAGGGGAGCCCATCCAAATGTTTTTCACCTTGAACTTGCAGTATTCCTACTGAAGCTTATATCAGGTTACATCCACTACTACTACTGTACAGGACCAAATCTTAAAATGCACAACCTGCTGAAATCAACAAATCGTGCAGGTCATGTTGTTTAAATAAGAAGTTAAATAAGAAGATAATACGTTTATTAAAGGAGATTTTACATAAATGTCCTTGGTGGTGGATTTACCAGGATCATATTGGATGGATGTTTATTGAGACTTTGGACCCTGCCTGTGTAAATTGTAGGAGACACAGCTGAGCATCTCCCTGCTGCTGCAATAAAGATGTAAATATGAGATTAGACTAGAGAAGGATCAGATTTCTGCCACAACAGTGTTATTATCAGCATTCTTGTTATCAATTAAGCCCAATTGTACGCAAAAGGGTGTGGGGAGTCCACCATTGTGGCTGTGCTGGGTCTTCAAGAGGCTAATCTTTCCTGACAGTCAGAAGTTGTTCCTTAAATCATCAGGAAATCGCTATTAAAGTTTCATGGGTTTAAAGTCATGACAGTATACTTGGCTGATTGCTCACAGGCGTCAGCCCGTTCAGCTCTGATAAGGAATTCCCTGCTAACCAGTCACAGTTAAGAATGGAAAGCCTTGTAAAAGCTTCATCACGACAGTGCTGCATGGCTCTGGGTAACCTCCCACAGATGGGCAGTGCAGCAATGCTTATGTAATTTAATGGGGTGTGGTTTAATTGTCTTCAAACCTGGCTGCTTATGACGTCAGAAAGAAAGGTGAACTTCTGGTCTCTAGTCATCAGCCTGATCTTTGACTATTTTCCTAATGACACGATGGAACTGACGCACTGAGACGATCATATCAGGAAGGTTTCATTTTAAATGAAAATCTGTTCCTCATACATATAAAATAAAGGTGGGGTTTTTAACTATAAAATGCCTTGAGTCTAGGTTTTTATTGCTGCTGTGGTTCGGTATTTGCACTGGTTTGTGGTGACTTTGACTTTGTTTGCAGACTATTTGCATTTACTGCAATGACATTATGGTCCTGAGGCTATGGGGCAAAAGGTAGAGGTGCTGTAGGTCAAAGATGGCAGTGTGCATGTGTGAAAAAGAGCCCAGCAACAATATCAAGAGAAATAGATTTTTCAGACCTATTTAAGCCTGATATTTGTTTTTCTTTCTGTCCTCGTGGTGACGAGTTAGGAAGGTGTTTAACCTTTACATACTGTTCATACTTCATGCTTTCACAGTATTGGCCAAGAACTCCTTCACAGACACTCCCTCAGTGCTGACCCGTAAATCTGACCTACAGATTTCTTAGAATGTATAAATAGTCTGACATAAATGAATGGATGATTAATTTAAGTTTCAGAGAGAATACAGGGTGGATTTTCTAGGATTTATAACACTCATTTTTCTGTGAATAACATCCATTTTCACACAATTTCATGCCCCGTTTAAAACATAAAAACATACAAGAAATGATTTAAAATAAATTCTATTAAAAGGAAAAAGTGTTGGGATTTAATAGACACCCATGTATAACCCTCTCATTAGCCGCTGTCTTCATTGTTAAATGATAGAAAGCCCACATTTATTATCAACATTACCAGCTAGTCTACAAACTACTAGCACTTTCCAAGCAGTAGTGAGGAAACCTTGTGTGTCAAAACAACTCAAATGTGATCCAAACAGGACACAAAGGTTAACGTGGAACGATCATAAAGATTTCAGACTATATTTACATAGAAGCGGATTCCACTAAAGCGGCTTTGCATGATTTATAATTCAAAATAATCCTTGACTTTTTATTGGACCCTCTCAGGTCATTCTCTCTCTCATGTTTGGTCTCTGCCCCCTTCCTTCAAGCCAAGTTTCTTCTGAGTAAAATAAAAGTAAATCATATAGATGTCATCCTGCCATACCTGCCTAGATCCCCTTCAAGTTATTCACAGATCCCGCACTGTCCCGCTGTGACCCTTTGTCACATTTAGTGTTTTTATATTTTTTATTACTCTAATTATCATCACTAATATAGGATTTTTCTCTCGGAAACTCACTCCGATAGTCAAGCTTTCATTTTCTTCCCAGTGTTTCAGGGAAATATGCAAATTTGAACAAATGTTACACTTACCACGAGCATGTTGTCTATCTTACCTCATGGAACACATTTAAACGTTAAAACAAACAAACAAACAAAAAAAAAAAAAAAAAAAAAAGCCCACAACCCCCCTCAGTTTCATAAAGGCCATATTCAACCCAAGGAAAGGGTGTGGGATATACACTATCAGTAGTTTATGAAGGCAGGGTAATCAATTGTTGCATGGTGGTGAACTACAGTGGACAAAATCTTATCTTTGAGCTGTTGCAGTACGTTTATCACAAATTAAGACACTCCTTGGCAATTTAAAAAAAAAAAATAAAAAATAAAAAATAAATCTGTGTCGTTTGCTGTATAAACTAAACGGAAGCAGGCAGTGCCTGTGTGCTAATGGTGATATATTAATGGACCCTAAAATAGCAGCTGATTAATGTCTGACTAGAAGTTCCTTTCCTTAGTTACAATCATTAATTTAAAAAAGCAGGCATGATAAAAGTAATTTACAGACAACAAAACACAGTTTAGATTTCATGTCTGTATTTTCCTAAACACAATCAAATATATTGCACTGGCGGAAGTACAGAGCATATCATCACTGCACAGTGAATACTGACCAGACGTTACATGTGACAATATAACCAGAGACCCAAATAAACTGGATTTTAATGTTTGCCTCATTTATATGTGACAAGAAACTTTGTCAGACATCTTACTTCTTCAACACAGTGGCTTGTACTGGCTTTGTACCCATGGATTTAAAATTAAAGTACTGTCTGTACATGTAAAACTAAACACTTCTATTTAAAAAGACAGCTGTTAGATCTGTCAAAAAAAAATAAAAAAAAATGGATTTGACAGACGAGAAAGTGTGCAGATACAGCAGCTAATCACACAGTTCAATCAAAATCAGGTGTGAGAACTAAATTGAGGCACAAGGACTGAGTCAAAGAAAAAGTGGGGCCACACTCCATTTAAAAATGTGCAGTTGCTCCAGAGTTCAGTCCCAGTTCGATCAAATTAAATTGAGCGGATAAAAGGAAGGCTGACATTCTTAAATATCAATGAGGTACATTAATCATTTGTGCTGACCAAATCAAATGTTAGCATAAAAACACAACCACCAAACATATAATTCATTAAGACCTCGAGGCAGTCAACATCTTTAGCAGCAATTCACACGTGGGTCATCCCTGTGTTTTGCAGTATAAACAAAGAGTTGGTAAGCTTTGGCCTGACTAAAGAAAAGCTTAGTCTAATCATATCGCTCCAGTCCAAAAACCACAAACAACAAGAACTTTCTTTGGATTGGAGCAATACGTTTGCTCCTATTTCACAAAGTAGAGCAAAGAAAAGTCCTGCGAGCTTTACTTAATGACTGAGACATTACACAACATCAGAAGAATCCAAAGAAAACTTCTCAGCTTTTCTTTTTTTTTTTTGTTACATGTGAATATTAGTTAGTATATTAGTGTACATGTTCTGATAATATGAATTAATCAAGGTGTCACACCTTGCTATCACAGCTGCATTTGACCTGTGAAGCTTCACTGTGGCAACAAGTTAAAACAACCAGAGCAGGTCACAAGTCACTGGTGTGGTAAATCTAATGCCTAGCAAAACACAAACCATCGTCTCTTCTCAAACATCAGGAAGCCGCTCATCAACATTCAAATAAAAATGGTTAAAAATCAGATTTCTCATATTAGAATGTGTATAGCAGTTATAGTCACACCAAACCATCAACAGCAAAATAGAACTCACTGCTGCCTTGATTCTTTCAGCGTCAGACCTGAGTCAGAGCTCAATTTGGAATCTTAAATTGCAAAAAATAATATTGAATTAATTCAGATTTAAAGCCACGTAGTATGTCTACCATAGATTTTGAACTTCTTCCATTGATTCCACAAAGGAACGGAGCCACAGGACAGCTGTAAGCAAAGTCCCGTATGACAACAGGTTAAAAATATTACATCCTATAACATAGCCCACATGCATACATTCAAGGCATTTGCATTAAGTTTGCAAAAGTATGGGGGAAAAAAAAACCCACAACTGGAGAAGATTGAAATTAAAATCGGACTCAGATCTGACTGAATTATTGCTTCCACGTTACACTCTATAAAATGTTATTCCTAGCAACCAACAGAAGAAAATGTTCCTGACTTCCATTCAAGTGCTTGTACGTTTATGATGCGCTGTCCTCGGGTCTCTTGAGCACTGCGCTGTATTTCAGAGGCGCATCATCCGACTTGAGCTGCACCTCCACTAAAGTGAAGACGGAAATGACCTGAACAGACAAGAAATTCTGATTTATTCATTCCACTCCGTCAACTGGCTTCAAAGACATTTTGTAATCATGCAAACCAAAATTTGTTACACTACTCTACTAGTCTACAAAAACAAATAAATGTGGGGTGCTTAACAGTGCTTTGGCATTTATTCTCCTGAGTACACAAAGTCACAGGCTCTCACCTGCTCTACAGGCGGATCCTCCGGGGCCTCTGCAGTCCACAGCAGTGTCAGCTCTGATTTCTTCCCCACCTTACGATGGCGGAATGCGTCCAAGCCAGTGATAGACTAAAGGTGGAAACAAACAGTTTTCAGCTGTTTCTAATAAAGTAATAAAGTGACAGTTCTGTTTTGCTCTGTCTCTCATACGACAGTCTCATTTCTTTCTCCCGAGTGAGATATGAGTGTTGAGCAAAGGCATGGTAAGAACTGCAAAGAACTGAAAGTTATATACAGTCAAAAGCATAATCTCTCTCTTTTTACTAAAAAGTAAAAAATTAAGACTTGGGAATAAATTGGTATCTTTGATGAAAAACAAAAAACAAAATCACATTGTAAAACCCATTGTTGGAGCTGACCTTGCAATAGATGCGTTTCTGAACTCCATATCGGAGCACCAGCACATCAAAGGACTGATCCAGCACCCCCATCACCATGGCCTCAGAGTCCAGTGGGCCAGACTCCTGCAAAAACATGTGTGGTGGATGCAAATACAAAGAATCTTTAGCCTAAGAAACTAGCCTTAAGAAAATAAGTCTCAACTCGTTTCACATTTTAGGAATCTAGCTGAAGACAGGTAATTAAAAAAAACCAAAAAACAAAAAAACCCCAAACATTTGGAAATAAACACTGGTTTGGGTTATGGTTTACTACTTTTTTTTCCTGTTAAGATGTTAAAAACCTACAACACTTCTTGCCTCCACCAGGACAGATATATAAAGATATGTAATGAACTCTGCTCTAAATCTGCTCCTGTGTTGTGATGTTCTTATCTTTGACCTTTTGAATTTGAGCAGTAATGGTGAATGGGCTGGTTTCTAGCCTTCATACATCATGCCTCATTTATACAAGCACTTGTTTTCTATTCTGAGTGCTTGCCAATATTCACACACCTTCACTTTCCAATAAACACACTGGGAACAACTCAGAATTCAGCATCTTGTCCAAGGAACCAAACCACCAACCCAGCTCTACTTCCTGAGCCAAGCAAGCCCCTTTATCATTTCATTTTGCTGTGGTCCCTCGTTTATCGAGGGAGTTGCGTTCTAAAAATAACCTGCGATAGGTGAAATCTGCGAAGTAGCCAGCTTTAGTTTTTACAGTTATTAGAGATGTTTTAAGGCTGTAAAACCCCCACGACACACTTTACACACTTTTCTTAGACAGGCATCAACATTTTCACACGTTTCTTTTTTAAAAACACTCTCGTAGTTCAAACCTTCGTAGAAAAATAAGTCCAGTATTATAGAATGAAACCAAAGATCAAACCCTGTTTTCAGGTCCAGAACATGGGAATAGAGCAGCTGCGAGAGAATTCAACATTAATGAATCAATGGTACCGAAGTGGAGGAAGCAAGAAGAATGAGCTGAGTAAAGTTTGACTTATCTGACTGTTTTGTTTCACTTAATGCGTCTTATAATCTCAAAAAAATACAGTAATTTCTACCTTCCTTTAGCATATCCAGAAGTTCAACTTTTTGTGCGATGGTTAGCATCTTCCTCTGCCTTTGACGGTGCATAACATTTTATCTACATTGTTGTGTTTGTCGGGGAGAAAACTTACAAACATACAGTACAGCACTTCAGAGTCACACTGCTAGCGATCGAAGATTTATGTAAATTTGACAAGCTGATAGCATAGCAAGCATGCAAAATTGCACACCAAAAAAAAAAAAAATTCTGAAAAACAGCGAGGCCGCGAAAGGTGAACCCCATTATAGCGAGGGACCGTTGTATACTGTTGAACACTTTTGTGAATTTCTTTTTTCATAACTGATGTTTACGCCTATAATCTTGATACTGTGTTTATTAGAATTGGAAAAAACACCAATAGAGTTGTGATCTGGTTACTCACCTTCACAAAGACTCCAAAGAAGAGCTCTGAGCTGAGCTCCTGGACTTTCTTGGACAAAGCCTTCTTGTCATTACAGTGTGACGCTTGTTTCTCTACCTCCGCCGTTGACAGGCTGATTCGAGGCCCACATTCTGTATACAAATATTCAGCGGAGACATGAGTATCAGAATTAATGGACACAAATTTAAGTGACACTGATTTTCTCACTCAGTGCAGTTACATGCTCGTGTGTATAGATATACATGCTTTGTTACAGCACTTTAATCAATGAAAGGTGTTTAAATGTGCTTTATAAATACATTTTACTTATTTAGTAAAAAAACCAAAAGGAAAGAACAAACAATACATCGACTGAGAGCGATGTTTGAGGCTCTTTTGTGCCTTTCTCCTCACTGTCAACCAGAAATGTCACACAATAGAAATTCTATCATTTGTCTGAAAGAGCCTTTTGTGGAAAAGAGACAGACTTAGTGAAGAAGCCAGCAGCCGGTGCACGATGATGTCAGCATAGCGCCTGATGGGTGATGTGAAGTGTGTGTAGAGAGGAACGTTGAGGGCGTAGTGCTTAAAATTCTGCTCCTCCTTCACGACTCCTGTACAAAAGTACAACGCCATCTGGGAAAGACAAATGAACCAGGTTAAAGATAAACACTACAAAACTAATACAAACAGGGTTTTGTTTTTTTTACTGCTCCAAATCATACTAGTACTAACTATGAGTACTAACTTGCATTGGTCTGGAGCACATGTGGGTGAGGACTTCTTTTCTGGCACTTGTGTACTCGTCATCACCAAAAGCAGTATTGAGACTCTTCTGCATGTTAAACAAGAAGAAAGAAGGTTTTCAATTTACTCCAACCGAACTTCAAACCCTGAATGCAATTGGATACCAATGCATTATGGGTACTGACGTGTAATAATCCGGCAGAAGACAGGTCGATTTTGATTCCCAGCTGGTCACACAACTCTTGCAGCTCATCCATCATCTTGGCTTTGGGTGGAGGGTGGCGCCTGAGCAAGGCCAACTCGG